TTAGACCAACGGTCACTCGGAGGAGACAGAGGTTCCGTGCCGAACTCAGCACTCGATGTTGGTTGTAGGGTTGGACTGGGGGAGGGGGCGGGGCGCTGAACTGAAACTTGGTGGGGGCTAAATTAATTACTGTCTAAATTGAACATGGTCCCTTGTCTGTCTCGGTGTTTGCTCACAAATCGGTGATGATGGTGAGGAGAAATCAGGGTCGCACGATGCTGTCAGCTTGAGGTGGGTTACGGCAGGCAACCGGCGGTGAGACCTTTGAAAGACAAAGGGATCGAAAGGAATTTCCCATGATGCTCCGGGATATACATACTATTGAGATGCCATGATGATCGGTGCCCTCGTTATCGACAACATATCTAGTTGAAGCCAGGAGACTCGTCGCTTGGTTCAGCTATCAGAGTGACCCTCCTCATCGGGACTGGCGCCATGCTTCGCGTCTTACTGCCACAGCGACGATCTCGACCCAAACTAAAGGCAAACCCACCGTAAGCAGAGTCTCGGCGGTCACATCGGCTTCTGTGTTGGTGTGCGCCTGGTGTGTTAAATGCGCGGCGCAGCTGTAGGGCTGGGAAGAAAGAGGCCTGGCGCCTGTTGAAACATACATTTCTGTAGCACGTTGGAGCGACAATGACGACTGGACAGCTTTTAGAGGAAAACCCCCCAGAAATAGAGGAAAGTCAGATTGATGGCGCGTAACATTCAGCGCTTAGTTTACTTGGCTCGGAGCATCTGCTCGATATGCTCGCGGCTATTCTTGTGTGTTGTTTCCAAATAAAGCAGACGCTGGCTCAGTTTGTCCACCTCTCCCTCCAGAGTCTGTGTCTGGTTCTCAAGCTTTTGGCGAAGTGAATCCACCGGGAGCGAGACGAACCTATGAAGAGACGCCATATCGGCCAGGCGTTAGAGACCAAGCTTGGTTAAAGGAGATGTGGGGTCCTTGTGAAAAAGAGGAGGGGGATGGATGATTGAGCTTCGGCAGGAGATGCACTCACATTTTGCCGACACCCTCGTAGACCACAGCGTCTTGAGGTAGACTGGCCATTTCGCTGAGTGTGAGCTTGACGAGACGTTGCTCTCGTTGTTTCGATGTCATTTGCGTCCTAGCTAGGCCAATCTGTTGCTGGGCTACCAGCGCCTGGCTTTCGATCTCTCGCACGAGCTACATGCTGGGTGTCAGCAGGGCCGAGGCCTAGTGAAATGCGGTTCCCTGAATGAGTTCAGGAGAATGTATATTATAAGGGAGATCGTACCTTCTGCAGAGCTTCGTTCGGGATGGACATTGTGTTGATGTATTGACTGACTAAAGAGATAGGCAGTGATGAGATTGCTAGGTAATGGAGAATGAATATATATTATCTCTGCTATATATATTTATTATATTAGCCCTATTACTATATAT